GAAAGCCCTTAGTGATACAAATTACTTAAATGGCAGATATATTTTGAAAATATAATAGAAAGAAATAAGCAAACCACAAATGCACGTTATGTTTATTTACTTGGTTAACTAAACATGTAACATGCATTTGAGGGTTGCTTATTTCTTTCTACTATATTTTCAAAATATATCTGCTATTTAAGTAATTTCTATCGCGTTATCAGCACGATATGCTCTAAAGAAGTTTATTTAGCAGAAACGAAGAAGAAATTTTGATTTTTCCGAAAAAAAAGAATCAACATTCTCAGCGCCGGCGAAGCTAAACCTAACACGTTGAAAGTAATTTCTATCACTTAGGGCATAAAATTGAACTATCTGGTAAAAATTCTATGTACATTTATGCCGGTATTGAAAGAAACAATCAATCCGATAAGAAACTGCTGCTACTTGTTTTGAAAATCAAGCGTAAAAGCTTATCAGCGAGGATATTCCGTTTGGCATCGGTTGTACCATTTTTGGCGACTTTATCACCTGCGTCGGTAAAATGGAAAAGTAGCAATAAATGTTATTAGAAATGAAAAAAAATCAAGCTATAAATAGCATTAAAAACATTTTTCATGGCTCTATACTTAAACCTTATTTTTGCCATTTAGTAATTTATTTTTAATAGATGATATAAAAGTATTTATATATTCCTGATTACATAGTGTTCTATATAAGAATAGCTCCCAAAATAGTATGACATTATCTGCATTCCTTGTAATTTTCCATAAACATTACAGAATACTGCCAACTGGATAGCTATCGTGCTGCTAGGCTTCCCAGCTGTTGATGTCGAGTTAGCACAAAAATCCATTTGCGAGACCACAGCAGATGGTCTGTCCAGTGGGTCAAACAAGAAATCGTTGGTAACATTAATCGTGTAAATTACATGCATTACTATAAAATTTAAATGTATTTCACATAGACAAATTCTTAGCAGATAAAATTTGAAGGGAAGTACAGTTATACTGGAGAAATTCCCCGACAGTTTCAAATACTTGATTAGTGGGACAGAATTTGGGAAAGTAAAATTACTGTAGAGTCATTTGGTTTAACGATGTATGAGACGTGTAAAACATTCGTTTTGTCGGGATTAAAGCACTGAACCTCCCGGTTGATAGCCGGGCATGCTACCCAGCTACTACACGAAAGCACGCGGAAAGGAAGGAGAAAATCATTTTAAATACAATTAAGTTTCAATTTAAATGCTCTCAATGGATATTATCTAATTACAGCGATAACAAAGTCCAAATGATATATTTATAAATTTGTAATTGTGTGGCTATGAAAAGTACAAATCGATTACTTAAGAATATAATAATGGACTGCTTAAAAGCGATTCTTGATATATAAACAAATAACTGTCAGAATCTATAAATTTGTATTCATAATAAAGTTTACCAAAAAAGCTCTTGGTCACAGCCATAGTCTCTTAGGTGTGCTAGTTGTGTAAAACGGATAAAAACGCGAGAACGCAATACACTTAAGGCTCAGTCTAAAACGTAATTAAGTTAGAAAGTAAATTAGAATGGCAGCGAGATTTAAAAGGCATGATACTAGAGAGGCAAAATGTAGCATTTAAAGACGAGGAAAATATAGTATAAAAAATTAATAAGACTTATACCTTACGGAACGAACAGAAAAGGCTTTACCGATAGAATGGCATTGGTACAAAATACGTATTTCACCAACACTGGAGGACAACAATCCAAAGAGCCTTAGTGAGGGATATGCCGTGCCCTAACAACAATGGTTGCGTTGCGCCATCCGTCGATGCACAATACCAGATTATCTAATAATTCTTGGTGATAAGATTTCTTATTCAAGGAGTGTGCTCCGGAGGGTAGGTTCGGTCTGCCAAACATCTTCGTAATGTAGCTGGCCAATCCATTCTATAGATATCTTCACTTTCGAGGAACTCCTCAAGGCCCACCAACGGCCGAGCTGTAATGTCGCTGAATACTGGTAGTTCGGTCCGAGGTTCAAATCCCACGAAAGGGCTGTCTACATAGGCGTTTTCGTGGTTTTCTTCATATGTAATCTGTAAACGAGCCAATTTCCCTCAGAACGTCCTCCACGAAGGTATTCCTCCCCATAGGCAGATAGCACTTAAGGCTTTACCGTGATAATAATCACATCACAACACTCCAGGAGTTTCTCAACAGCATGAATTATATATGCCCGTGAATTGCTATCCATAAAAACAAGGTCGAGACCAATGGTACTTTGAAAGAGACGCTCACGAGGAGGCGTAACTTTCATCACAGTAAAGATTTCCTGTTAGTTAACGAAAATGTGGAGCTCGTTCCGACTGTTCATCGTAATGCCTCCCCGTACAAGCACGCCACGACCACCACAGCGGTCTCTTTCTCTGATGTTAGGACAATGAAAGTGGGTCCCTACTTTTCTATATATCAACTGGCGTCAAGATAGGCCAAATCATTCTTGAAAAGTTGACGGAAGTCTGTAATACCTGGATGGGATAAACAGTGGATATCTAAATATTGTGTAGTTTTAACTTCTCTGTATCATATGGTCACACTTTTGTAGTGTTAACATCACAATAACGTTTTAAATTAGGTCATATTTGCAAAAGTTGGAACTGAAGTGATGGATCAGACTTGGCAAGTTTTTAAATAACTGGGTATCTTTAGGCTGTTCCTCAGCCATAGCGGACAAGTTGGTTGGAACTAGGTGGATCTTATTTATCCAATATAAAGAGTCAGCCACAATATTACCAGATCTAGTAACATGTCTCATACCATTCCTAAGCTGTTATGGGTAATAGAGATGCCGGGGTTGCCGAAAGGGAACCTGAACCGGATCATTTTGAAAAAACGAAGGTCAAGAATTTATGGATCTTGTGAGTTGTAAAATCTCCGGTAAGTGAACCTCTATCGAAAATGTGGTGTTCTGTGCATCCGTTTATCACAACGCCTTCCCTTACAAGCACGCCACGGCCACTCCTACCGTCTTTTTTCCTGATGTTAGTCAGACGAAAACGTGTCTCTACTTATCTATATATCACCTGGCGTCTAGAATCGTTTGCAGATTGCAATGACTCTCATCGGTAAAGAGGACTAAAGGGGATTCGGACCGATGAATTTCGACATTGCACTTCCACTTGCTCTCAGCTGAAATACGAGAAGGAACATGTGGTCATTTACCGCCTCTAGAGGATTGTTTTTAATCTTAAAATAAAGAAATTCTGCCCCTCTGAGCTTCAGTCGGGAGGAAGAGTTCTGAATACAGTGGTTGACAGGTACGAGGAGTAATGGGTTGAAATATTTCGTTTGTTTTATTGAAGTACTAGATAATTTAATAATAAGCTACGGTCATAATGAATGAACTGCAAACAACTTTGATAAGTACAAGTAGGATCTTTTTGCAATGAAGAATGTCTTTACCAGTTTGAGTTTTGTACGCAGAGATGATGAGTTTAATAAACATGCGATTTTCCTTTTGATTAATATACATTTTTATTCCGGAAAATTTGGTCGTAATAAGTGACTGACTTTATTAACTAGTGAGCTTAAAAATGGCGGCACAATACTGGTATCTATCAACTTGTGGTGATTCTTTGGCGTTTTTCAATCAAAATTCACAACATTTAAAAATTTCTTTGTTGAAATGAGAACGAATAAGAAAAATCATTACTTCGTTAAAATGAGAACTTCGTTTCGTTTCTTCGTTGAAATTGTTCCTTAATATGTACTCCTAAAACACCTCGTAGATCCCTAAGTAAAAATCATTCGTGTATCACTTAATAATAATCATCATTATTACTGAAGTAGAGGAAACGTATTCTGAAAGTTTTCTCTTTCTCACTTAAATTTTATATCTCGTTGCCATACTATTTATCCAAACTTGTGTAATTAATAAATAAATGAAAGCCTTCGAAGCAGAAACTTGCACTGCAAGACGAAACTACGACTTATCTTCGTGTGGAATACAGTAATATTAATTTTTCTTACTTCTGGAGAGTTTCTAATAACCGCTGGCTGCCAGCTACATAATTCAAGATGATTTAGAAAGGTTGACTACTAGTGTCGTTTGAACAGATAATCATAGAGCTGTAATACGAGTTTAATAATATCTTTTAACAAGAATAATAAACTTAAGTTTTTCTGTGCGCCACATAATAGAAAAAAAAATGCGGTAAGCGAAATTAGCTTAAGGGAAAATTTGTTCATATTGTCAAGTAAACTACTTCAGACAAAATATTGGAAAACAGTATATCTAACATATGCACATTATGAAAATTTCTAAAAGATACTTTTTACATTAGAAAAATCTCAAAAGAGTTGATTTTAAATCTTCTTTCTAAATCTTCTGAGTTCTCCAAAAAAGCTGAAATTCAAAATTTTGGATTAAACGAAATTCTACTTTATCTGATCCTTAAGACACTTCTTTCGGACGAAAAGTGTTTTAATTTCATTATAAATTACATATATTTAACCAGCGTCCAATTTTGATTCTATTTATTTTTAAATAATTTTGAATGAACGAAAATAATAAGACAAGAAAAACTTATTTTTCGAGACTTACAAGGCCCGTATTAAAAGTCAAATGCTATTCCTTTTTATTAAATGGTGTCCCATTCGCAAAAATTTCTTGAAGTTTACCTTATTTGATTCATTTCTTAAATTAAATCACGTACCTAAATTTTTAAGAGGTAATTATGTATTTTTATTACCTTTTGGATGTTTTTAAAGAGGATGTTGTTTAGTATCCTTTATATCGTACATACAGGAATATAAAGCATAAATTATTGCTTTATTTATTTTATTTTTATAATTTCTGAATATCTATGGTTTGCCATGATTTATCTTCATGCATTCATTAATACTTCACACTTTCACGTCAAAACTCGTTAATTATCTTTGCTCAGGATTAATACTTAATTTTCTACCTGATTTTATTTTGTAGCGTATATTTCTGCTGAAAATATAGTTATGTAAGAATATTTTTCTTCTCAGGAGGGGCTGGTTTCCGATTGCATACACCGCAGTGCTGAATGATGGTCCAAATGCTAATTCTATGGATTTGAAGTAAGATTTCTGATCTAATTCCTTTTATTTGAACTTTTCATTTTGCTTTTTAACCACTTCACCTCTTCCCCCGAGAGAGACTCGTCGATTTAAAAATTGTAATGGGGTGTTAGCAACGTCACGTACTCGGGAGTTTATTATGGCCTGGATCGTTACCCCCATATCGCAATCTCCGTTTCGTGCTTTTCAGCCCCTCGGGAAACAAATGAAAAGAGGAGATTGATGGCTTAATTACTCACGCTTTCTTCACAGCGGGTTTGTATCAGGGGTACGTTCACTTACAAACACGGAAATAGGAATACCATTCCACCCTGCCCTTCAGCTCGTATTGCAACAGAAATACTGCTCATTTAAAAGCTTGCCTTTAGGAGATCGTTTTTGTTCATTTTCAGATAATACACGAGAAAGAAGAAATAATACACTGAGATAATACACTGAGAGAATATTTTCTCCCCGTTAGGAAAACGAATAAGTGATTTTCTAAGTAAATCTTGACAGTTGGTGAAAGGAAGAAATATTTCTGAGGGAAGTTTCAGATGCAAATAGTTGATCTACGAAAAAAAAAAAATAATAATGAAGTAGCTATTTGAGTTTCCTAAGATGGTGAAGTGGTTAATTTGCGTGTATGAATTTTAGCTTTTTAACAGTAAATATGTAGCAGAAATCATACTTCGATGGCAAGAATTTAATAACACGGTGGCGGTAATTACCTTTTGTATTTATGCTTTTTAGTTAATTTTCTGTTATAATTACTTTTCTAGTTTCCTTTCTGTAGCTTTTCTCATTCTTTGACTGGTTGTAGATGCTTATGTATACTTGCTTTCATTTGGGTTTCCCTGCTTTACAAGGTAACTTTCACTGCTGTGTGCTAAAAATGACTGCATTTTCACAGAAGCACTATGTTCGTGCATTTGACACATGTTGTATAGCTTGACAGCTCGTTTCTCCCTGGCATTTGCATACATTTTTAAAGCACATCTATAGTTAATTCATACGTTTATTACGATTTAAGTATATTGCTCTTATACGCTTATAATAATACTAAAAGTTTTCAATGGAATTGTATGCCTTTAAAAGCAAATGCTTATAAAAATATATGAATCTGGAATGAAAGCAAAAATTTAATTCACCTTTAGAATTTAGTTTGATGCGATAACCAAAAATCCAGAATAAACTATTTTTAATTTGGTTTTGACCAGTGCTACAGAGCATTTGATTTTTTAATCAATCGTAAAATAATTATTTTCTATAAAACATTAATGTTTTGTGTAATCTCTCTTATAGCTAATTCGTTTGCTCTTACTTGTATTTTATAAACCTATTCAGTATAATAAAGACTTCTGATACAAGATTTTATGGAGAACTTTAAACATATAGACCTTAAGTTGTTTATTCCGTGAAGTGTAAGCTAAATATTTTGCATCATTATGGAAAGGAAAAAAAATCGGAATGTAATTATGTGTTAGTTCAAAGTTTATATTTTTATAATCAGTTATAATAAAGAAGAAATCTGTCAAAAAAAAAAAAGATTTAGGAATCAGTATTTGTAATTTGCAATAAATATCATTAAAATGGAGCTGGTTATTTTAGTCGCTCATATCCGGTTCGTGAAATAACTGATACTGGTCAACAGTTTTTTCCTGTTGTTGTTAAGTTTTCTTTCTTGCGGAATGTATCAAATTCAATTATTTCATTGTATTTTAGTTGCATGTCTCCGGATCCTCTTGTGAGAATATACTTGTCGTTAACATTGAAAAGAAACGCTTTGACGCAAATAATATATTTGTGGACCTTATTTTTATACGTTTTTTAAGTGAAATGGCAACTTTTATGAAAAAAAAATGCGCATCTAGTTTCGACAGGACTTCATGCTGAATTTTGAAAATAAAAAAAATCATAAGAAGTAAATATAATTAGATTTTGAATATTATTATACTCGAATTAATATTTTAAATACAATATAAAAAGTGAATTCAGATAAAATACCTAAAGGAAATAAATGGAAAAAAGGTTTAATATAGTAATCCATAAGGTACTTTGAGAATGATAAGCAGTCGTAACATATTCTGTGTTTCAGGATATCATCTCTATGTGTATTCATTCTACCACGAGCTAGTTCGGAAAATGTTGCGAAATTTTATCACGATTCTTAGTATTGTTTGTTAATTGAAAATATTGCCAGATCTGTGGAATTTCTGATGGATATTCACATTACTTAATAACTCTTATCAAAAACGATACAACTATTATGTTGTTTAAATATTTGATTATTCGATTTTTGAAAAGATAGAACACTGTCGAAAACGAATAAGGAATTTCATGTACAATCGTTATACTTAATAATTTTGGTGCACCTTTCCTTTTTGCAGGCAGAGCTCTAAAAGAAAAGGGCAGGCTTCCCAATAGGACAAACATGTGTTTTTGAAAAGCGTTGCTCATAAACCGTTTTAAAATTAATAAAATATTAATAATAGAAGCTTCAGCTTTCATGAAAAATTCTTAACCCGCTTCCAGCAATACAAACCGGATTCTATAATTTAATATACAGTTCATGTAGTCTAAAGTAAGGAGAAATTCACTTGAATAAAAAAACTCTTGAAGTGTTTGGGAAATTGGCTGTACTAAATCATTATAAATTTACGTGAAATTGAAGTGATCCATCAGAGAGTAAAAGAAAATTTATTGGTCGATGATTCCCTTAATTTAAAGGATACTGATTCTATGAAAGTTTATGTAATGGCAAAGCTACTTATTTTTGCAAGAATAGATTTCTGACGAAGATGATGTGAATGTGATTGTTAATGTGATCGAGAATACAGTTTGAACCATGAACACAGGGTTTCGAGAAAATTTTTCAAGACATCAGTTCCATTGCAACAATTAACAGTATTTTAGATACATCGGATTCATGCGAAAATTCATTTTGTTTTCTCAAGTGAAAAGAAGAGCGATTAAAACGAAACGTAACGTATATGTGTATTCACGTAATTTCCAATATTTAGTATTATTTCTTGCCATCTGCCTTTTAATATTCCTCACCGATAAAAAGCCTCTGGTTTAGAATCAAAAAGGATCTTGCAATGCTGTTTTTGCATCTTGCGCATCCGAAATGTCAATGAATTCTGTAACATTCGAAAAAAAAGATTGTGATGCGAAGGAATAAAGTCCGGAGATTAGGTAAAACTTACCAATTAAAGCAGCATGAAGTTTTGAGTTTTTGTGCTAAAAGATACTCTCTTAGCGATTGACAACTGCTGGCTGCTTATGATTTAGTTTTCATCTCAGTCTGTTCATTGGCAGTACATGTCGGCATTTACTTTTCGCTACGTAGGAACTAATCGCATCCCTTCTTAGCCCATCATGCACTTTACAAAATCTTTTCGAGATGCGGTCCTTTTCTTGATGTGAGAAAAGCGGACTTTGCTACACTACAGACAGTCCTTTGATGTTCGACATTATTGTAGACCGCATAGTATTCATTTTTCATCACCTGTTATAATTCATTCAAAAAAAAGGTTCATTTCGGAAACTAAAAAGTCGTTGCTTTTCTGAGAGGTGATGTTGAGCACACGGATCCAGTCTTGTGATGAACCCAAGTGCTCGTATTCGTCTTTAAACTCTTGTTCTGAGTACAAATAGCGTTTTCGCTAATTCGTCAACAATTTTCTAGGAATCATTCGATATGACTTCATCCAGAATCTACTCAGAAAGCACTGATGGGCATCAGGAACGTAGCTGATTGTCATAACGTCTGTCAACATTCCCGAGTTTTCGGAACAAACGACGACATGTGCTATCGTCAAACGCATTCCCTTCAGGCAATTTCCCGGTGCATTTAAAAGCCAGACAACGGCTGGCCGCATAGCTGCTAGTAATAAATTTGAAGAAAATATCTACTTTTGTTGTCTGATTTCGAAATTCTGGCCAAACTTCCATTGCAAAAAATCTCTAGGGTCTTTTATTATTATTATTATTATTATTATTATTATTATGCCGTTGCTTTATTCCATAAGAAAACATTTTGCTAAAATAACTTGATAATATGCTTCTTGTTAGGATTTTGCGTTTATGTAAATATAAATGTTTTAGGGTTTATTCGAACTTCTACATAATAACGAGTCTTGATCGATTTTTTCCCTAATCGGTGAAATAGCTTATATAATGATATACTGTTCTATATTCCGTACCTAAATGACTTACTCATTTATGTGGCAATCGAATTCAAATTTAAATATTTTTTTGAGTTTGACGACATAATTTAAAAAATATTTGGTTATTCTAATGAAAAGCAGTCATTAAATGCTATGGGGAAACCCTAACTGGACCTCATCTTTTTGCTCTTCTTCCTTTTCATTCCCCCTTGTAGCACTCTGGAGCTAAAACGCCGAAGTATGGACTTGGCGAATCCTTATTCCTCCTGCATTGGGGTTTCTCGTAGTCTTACTACACCGAACATCCAGCCGTACCAAAATGGCACGGATCACGATGCCTCTATTGATGCCAACCTGCTGCTGCCACCTCCTCCTCCCACCACCCAAAGACCTCTCTCCACTTTCTTAGATTCCTCTGTGAAGAACTTGGATTCTTTACAGGTAAAAAATATTATTATCATGTTTAAGATGAAGTAGGCGACATTACCTGATTTTCTTAATTTTGCATCAGAAAGGAAATTACGATTAAATCCATGCGTCTGGTCTGGGAAATACCGCAGAGCATCTGTATTGTTTGAAGGTAGTACTTACCATCAAAAAATAGTTTTTAATTTTCACTAAAAGTTTTTTTTACAAATTTAAATAAGAATTCAAAGGGTTAGGTGTTACTCAAGAGGACAAAAAATCTTATTTGGGAGATTTAAGATAACCATCCTTACTGAAGTTTTGTAAGTACTCTTCGAAAATTTGAGTTAGCATGGAAGATAATGCATAGCATGTAGTATTTTATATTGGTGATCATCTCTGAAGTCATTTTTTACACTTGTGGAAGTGAATTTTCCAAAAATGCCTTAAAATGCAATTAAAAAAAGTGTACACTTTACATGTTAATAAAGGCGCTGCTTATGGTTTGAATATATAGCGTAAATAAAGTGCAGTAAAAAAATGATGAAATTGTTAATCTATTTTTACATCAGCTGCAATTGCTGAAAATAAATCGAAACACAAATTTTAGGTGCACAAAACAGCCGGTGCCCGATTTGTAAAACCTCTGACTACAGGTAGTTCGAAATGGGTTCAAATAGCAGCGAACGGATTAGTTGCATGACAGATTTCTGGGTTTTCTTCATGGGTTATTGAATAGGAGCCATTTACCCTAAGAAGTCCGTTCTTTTTTTTTAAAATATAAAAGGTAAATTTTTCACATGCTTGATTTTATTTTGAACACAATGCAAACTACGTATGAATTTTTACACTTTTCTTTATAATCCTGTAATATAGAAATGATTAAAAATTTGGTTTCTCTCCCCAATTTCATTATTTGAAGAAATAACTAAATTCTCTTTCTGATGTATAATATGACCCATTTTAGAAGTCAGTTTCTTCAGTTGATGAGGCAAGGTTTTCTTTTATTACTTCGTCAACCGTAATTATCCATGCACTGACATATTGTTTTTTTAAAATTTCAGAAATTAAATTTTTTGAGTGCAATATCCTTTTGGGTAAAATTCGCTGTTTTCGAATGTCTGACCTAAAATTTTGAAAGAACAGCCACAGCATACTGTATGTATTTATAATACCAAATAAAGATATAGTTTAGAATTAGAAGTCTAATCCAATGTTTTCTAATTTTAGACTTTGGAAATCAGCTTGACTCCAAATAAAAATTAAGTTATTAGCAGCTTCAAAAAGAGAAATATTTACAAATAGTGACAGCAGTCTCAATTTTAAATAGATATAATATATGGGTTGTACAATAGACAATAATGGCGCGGCATATCTAACGAAGTTTTACAATGAATCTAAATGCCTCATCTAAATTTCTGCATGTATGATTCAGCGGTATTTTTAGAAATTAACGTTCAATCTATTTTAAAATGGAATTTATTAAAATACCAAAACAAATTAATCAACTCTAGAATCAATTTAGCATCTCTGCAGCAACAAATAAATTGAAAGCAAGTTTCCAAGTTTACACCGTTGCCACTTAGTCTTCTCTAAATCATTGCATTTCTATTCGTTTTCGTGCTGCCATTCAAAGGCAGAGAAAAGTGTCTATTCAAACCGGCACAAGCATAAAGAATTTTACTATAATTAACGAAGGACAGATTGCAGTGTTTTACAACGCGATATTTTGAGCGAATATTTTTTTTTTTATTTAAGGGTATCTGAAGACCAAAATTCTTAAAATCACAAAATCCTGAAAGAAATTTGTTGTTAGTGACAGTAAATAATTAATTCGGTGTTTTTAGTCCAAAGGGCCCAGAAGGGCTATTAATTTCGTTTTGGCATTTTGCGTTGACAACTTTAAATGTCGGTTCGCTTTCAAATTGTTGCCTCCAAATATTATCGCACTGTGTTATATTTAAAGAAATTAAATAATGAAGAATCTGAATAAATGTATGTTGTTTCTCGCATTGTGTTGAATAACGTAATATTCCACCGAATACGGGCACCTGGAAGTCTTAATTTGGAATTTGTATTATTAGCGATTTCATGTTATGTAACACTTCAACGAATTTTTGATTAACAAACTCAACGATTTCAAAGCGATCAATGGCAAAACTTTACGGGGGGAAAATTTTTTTTTTATCTCCAGCGCGCGAGACTGTGTATCGGAAATTCTACAGCTATGCTCATTTTTAAATTATTTGACGATATTGCTATTGATTTGAATTTTATGATTTAAGTGATCAATGGCAAAACTGTACGATTTCAAAGCGATCAATAGCAAAACTGTACGGGGGGAAAAAATTTTTTTTTTATCTCCAGCGCGCGAGACTGTGTATCGGAAATTCTACAGCTATGCTCATTTTTAAATTATTTGGCGATATTGCTATTGATTTCAATGTTATGATTTAAGTGCAAAGAATATTTAATAAATAAAAGTAACACACAAAAGGTTAAAAAAAGTCCCTTTGGGCGTAATATAAGATCTGAAAGCTTTCTTTTTTTGTTGTTGTTGTTTTATTTCATGTGTTAAAAGAAGCTCAGTAGTTAATGTTAGCTTAATAATTTTCGTTTTGAGGGTGTAGAATCAGCTATACTTCCCCTCTCCAAAATCCATCTGAAGCTCAAATAAATGTGTCTTGCTGAATTCTGTCAGAAAGTTCATTATTGGCAATTTAAATTTATTTTAACATTTTTTCGTTGTTATTTACAAAATATTATTAGTTTTTTTTTTAACTGATTTGCGTTTCTGGAATGAATAAATACAAAGTACTTTTTTTTTTTTTTTTTTTTCTTTTGTTAGAAAAATCCTCCTCGAAAAAGACATCCCTTTTTTAAATCAGACAGCTCTTCTTGTTGTTGTGACTTAATCTCGCTTGTCTGACAGTAACATCAGAACAAGCCCACGAAATTCATCGTGGCAAAACGTGCAAGATTAGGTCTGTCATTGGCAATAGCCTTGAGTACCTAACAGGGAACAGTACGACTTTGCTCAGTTCCGCCCCCAATTTTGAAAGACAGCACCCCCTCTTCCCCTACCATCAACCTCTCGAAAGGACTTTTGGCTCGCCGCATATTTAGAGTGCTCCCATGCCGCATAGCCACTATATACATTTTCAAACATCCATGCCTTCTCCGGGATTCGAACCCGGGCTCTTCAGTAGTAGTCAGAGTCGCTAGCCACTAGACCGGTCGGCGGCTAACAGCTCTTAATGTGCTTTAGGTATATTCCGATGAATCCAGATCTTTTTATGTAATGTATAAAATAGTGTAATTGTACGATAGCATTGTTTTTAAATATTTGAGTCATTTGAACATCGCATACGGGAGATGGTCTATACATATTGCATTATATATGTATACAGATTTATTTAAATTGAAATAGTTATATAATGTAGTATAACTCATATTTATAGTTTGGGGTAAGTTCTGCTAATTTTTAAACAAAATACTTTTTTCTTTATATAGTAGAGTCCCGCAAACTAGAGATAATGTGGACTGTGGAGTTTTACGGAATAAGGGGTGGGTTTTTTGGAACTCTTTAATATTTAACTGTAAATTACTTTAGACATTTGTAGCACGATATTGGACACGGAAACGTACAGCATGCAATTAAATTAACGTTGATTTTTTATGTTAAGTTCTAGCACATTAGGAGTCGTAAAGAGAACAAATACCCTAAGATAATTGAGTAAAAAAAAAAACTTGCATACAAAAATGAAGGAAAAATTGTTAAGCGGTAGAAAAATATTGTGTGATGGTAGATTGTCTTTCACGCTCATTCCATCGTCGTGCAGCTTCACCCCGTAAACGACAGAGGAACAGTCCATACTAGATGCGCCTTTCTCCTCCATGTAACGAAGCATTTCTTCGCTATGGGTCATCATTTTAGCTTTTCTATTGTCTTCAATCTCTTCGTTTTCTGATTCATCAAAATATTTTTATCCACATTGTCTTCTAGTGCAACCATTTCTGCATATCCTAAAATTTCACAATTTTCATCTTGTCCCAACCATTCTTTAACATCATCATCATTAACATTTCCGCAGCCTGGAAATTTCACAAGTAAATTAATTATTTCACAATTTTCTGGCTCTTCCGGTTTCGTGAATTCATTTCCTGGATGGCCCAACGACTTTCTCCAGGAATGAACGAGGCTTATCTGCTCGATTTCACTCCAAGAATAAGCTACCCCTCCAACATATCTATTTTCTTCGGTTTCAGAATCGTATCACACTCTTCCTCGGTGGCTAGGATAAGAGATGGAAGAAGTTTATGTCTGTTATTTTTTCTTTCGTGCCTCCAGAACGTCCTGGTTCATCGGCCGACACAATGAAGTTATGTTAGGAGGTAGAAATATATCTTTTATATGTTCGTCTCGTAACTGTTCTGCATCAGGATGGGATGAGGCATTGTCTAGAATGAGAATCGCCTTCCTTGGTAGATTTTTTTTTTTATTAAAAAAAACTTTTTCACTGATGGAACGAATGCTGATGAAACTAGTTATTACATATTGCTCCATTCATCCATGCGTATGACTGATTCCGGTACCAAACAGGAAGATCATTGTTGGTTTCGGTACCATTAGTGCACTTTTTTACGTTTTTAAACGCCCGGGATTTTTTTTTTTTTTTTTTTTTTTTTTTTTGCCTATAAGCGCTAGTTTGAGCTTATGGCTGCCTGTTGCATTGCTGTATGCCAAGATTGCGACTCTCACCTTGCTTCTTTTGTAAATAGGTGCCGATTTTAATTCTCTGGATGCCAGCGTTTTCGAAGGTAGTATTTGAAAATTCAGACCGGTCAAAGTTATAAATTTGATCTACAGATATACCCTGCTTTTCAATTAGTTTGTGGAAATTATCCTTGAACATTGCAGCATTTTCCAAGTTAGCAGATAGCTTTTATTCTACACATATTTAACTGCCTGATGCCGTGCCGCATTTTCCATATGACGAGCCAGCCAGCACTAGCAGTAAATCCAGGCTCTCTTT